ACATTCCTTATCTCTGATTTTCAGATTGTTCATTTTACCCTGCCCTTTTCTTACTGTTTTGTAATTGTATCCAAGACAATGACAAATGGTAGGTAAGACTTTTCAAGTTTAAATAAACCCAAACATAAAAGCCCTTCAGAAATGAAAACAGCTTTATTTGTTAAAATAGTTGTACTGTGTACAAAGGAAATTACGATAATTTACAATAGTTAAGGCATAGAACATTGGGGCTTTTTTGCTTCCACTGGAAGAACAGTATTTTAGAACTAAAGAATCAATAGAAGCAGACATTGATAGTAGTAATAAAATAATAATATAATAATAAATATTTCACATTAATATAATCTGAATTTATAATAATCCAAGCATTTCAGCTTTAACTAACACAACTTAATCCGCATCCAACATATAGGTAGAAGTGTCTTTTGTCATTCACAGAAGAAAAAAGTTCTATGACTAATGGTGAGGGTTACATCAACCCCTATATATTTCCTTTTGTCCAGTTTCACAACTGCCAGCAGCAGAGCTCCAGGAGGATGGTGAGCAGGCAAGTGAGTACAAACACTGTTTGCTGTAATCTTAACCCATTAGAATATAGTCTGGTAATTTCCTCATTTTCTGATTTCAGTTCTAAAAAAATATCAAGAAAATAAAAATGGTTAATAAATAAAATATGCACATTTTAAACATAAGGATTTGCAACGTACTTTGAAAGTCCTCTGACATCTCACAGGTACTTAAGTTAAAGGTATCAGCTGTTAAAGCCAATCAAAGAGGCTGTTCTCAGGGGAGAGATGTGAATAGATGTCCCATCAATGATCGTTTGAGGAGCAACTGATAGCACTTATCAGCTCTTGCAGGCATTAATCTCAGAATAATCAAAAGTAAATACAAAGCAAGAGCAAGCTCTTCACAAGAGGTATGCACTCAAGTCTGCATGTAGCCTTTTAACCCTTCCTTTAATAAAATGGTGCTTCATTTACTAGCACAAGCAGAAAGCCATGCCCTCATGCATGTCAAAGCCAGAGTCCCTGCTCAGAGGATGAGCAGATAATTCTCCATCACCTTTACTGCCTTTGTTAGGCTCAGCTCAAGAGCAGTAAGCAGTAGATTGCTTTTATTGAGTATGAAAAAGCCTGTTGGGTCTTTCGTTAATGTAATGGGGTACAATAGGGCTGATTTGAAGGTCAACACCCAAGGGAACTTGAGTATTTAACTCTTCTGACAATCAAGTTGGATGTCATACATAATTAGTCAACATCAAAGACTTCAAGGCAAAAGTGGTTTGGTGGGGAGTTTCTGGTTTTGGTGGAGTTTGTGTGTTTGGTGCGTTTTTTTGTTGTTGGTTTTTTTGTTTTGGTTTGGTTCTGGGTGTTTGTTTTTTTTGTCTGCGGTTGCAAAGATAGGAATGTCACCTTTCTTTCACATTTGAAAGAACTTATTTGAACTTATGGTCTTATCACACGGTAGGGCATATCCTCGGAACCTGAGGCTCCAGTTTTGAAATCTGTATTTACTTCTGAGATGGTGGTATACATAATGACTCACAATGCACTGCTACTCAGATAGATAGGAATCTGGTCAGGAAAGAAGAAGCTGGTAGTCTCTTGGGGTGCAAACGAAGCTATTTAGGTCTGTTGTTTTCTTACCCTGCTAACTAGTGATATTGGCTCAACTGAAAGAAAGTATATTACAATGCAGGGTGGAATTGACACATCATAGATGGAGAAGGGCAAGAATATTTTGCACTAACTTTGCAACTAGAGATAACATTGAACTCTTACTAGTTATCTCAGAGTACTGAAAATACTCTAGACCTTAGTAGCCAGTTGTCCATGGAAAATAAGTATCTGTAAAGCAATCCTTCAAGTTTCTATGCTAGCTGATATACTGATTTCAAAAATATTCAAACCTTTATACAGGGATTTTCACAGGTTGATGTATAAAGACTTGACTTAAATATAGTGCTTTTGAGGAGACTGGGTGCTACTACTTTATACTGATCAGGTCTATGGTTCCATGCCTTTTGTGAAGTGTGGTCAGTCTTTGAACTCTGTACAAAAATATTGTGAAGACTGAGATACATATCTTAAAATTAGGTTCAGACTAGTTTTCTGCTATTTGTGTGTTAAGTAGCTTATGCAAGAACACGCAAGTACTTGTTTGTAAAAACTACTTTCTACTAATACCACACCAGCTTACACTACTGTTTTTAGTCTTTCCTCATCTAAGAAACATTTTTAATGCTTGGATGTAGTTTAGTTATCTAATTATCTTGGTTAAGTGGGAAGTCATAGACATGTGCAGGTTTTGCAAAGCAGAGAAGCATTTAATCACTGTAATTTTCAATTAAAATAGGGAAAAGTTTACTACTGCACAGGATTGTAAAGATCTCTAAGTATTTTATGTTATGTACTATATAGGCAACAGCAATATTATTTGTTGTCTCACTAATGCATTCTCTGAAGCAAAGCAGGCCACTGCAGGAGTCTAGAGCACATACAGCATCCTCTGAGTACCCCATGTTTGCAGAAGGCAATTCTGTTACCCAAGACAAAAACCATTCGATTCAATGCCATTCCTTACCACAGTTATCGTGCATTATTTCTGAGAGACAGTTGAGAGTGCCATAGCCGCACCGACACAGCCAACAGCCCTTCAGCATCCAGGTGCCGTGAGCAACGCTGCCGCAGTTGCTGTCAAGGACAAAGGAGACATTTGGTACGATTACACCACAGAAAACAACCATCCAGAGCAGCTCACTCATTCTGGTTTTGGTCTGGTTAATTTTTTACCTCTGCCGCTCATCATGTTCACAATATCTTCCAGTGAAATGCTTTAGGCATGCACAGAAAGCCCCTAGGATACAGGTCCCTCCGTTTTGGCAGCAGTTTCTGTTCAGTTTTTTACCTGCAAGTCAATATTACAGAGGTTACCAGGCATCCCGAGGGGCTCCGAACCTCCCCTTTTCCTCACGTCTCTCCAGCTGCCAAACGATCTTAAGGATATCTAGTTTTATTGTCTTTAGAGACAATAAAATTATCTGCCTGTTAAGAGTGTTTGTTCAGTTAAACCCAGTTTGTTTAGTTAAGGATTAGAAGAAAACTACTAGGGATTACAGGATGGTCAAGAAACAACGCTTGGCAAGTCCTGCCCGTACCAGCAGCAGCATATATTAAAGTGAAATATTTCACTTTGACGGAGGCAGGTTTCAGTAATGCTAAAAAACGGGCTATTGTTACCGGGAAGCGGTGCTTATTTCTGCAGAAAGGAGGCTTTGTTACTGGGAAGAGTTGTTTAGTTTTGAAAGGGGAGGGGAACGCTCCCTCAAGGCTTTCTCAGACTCCTGGGACTAAGTAGCAATCTAAAACTGAATGTATGTGGGTGGGAACATTAGTCCTTGTTTCTTTTTCTGTTAGTACTGTTCCTTTCAGACAGCTCAAATCCTCACCCCTCCTTTTTTAGGTTGTTGTCCTTTTTTTAATTAAATAATTTTTTGTCACGAAACATGGTGAATTTAAAAAAATTAACAGACTTCTACAGAATTTTACAAACACTTTTGCAAATCCAAGGGACCAACCCTTTCTTGATTCCTAGTATCATTCCCTGTTTTCCACCAGGTAATGAGAGTTTTGGAGGTAAGAGAAACCCTGTTCTACCTTAAATTTTTGTCACCATTTCC